TGCCTCATCTTCGTATTCAATTCCCCTTTGGAAGTTGACAAAATTGTTAGTTTGTGCATGTGTGAGGCCTCTGAGTACAGCCCATCCTTCATCATATTTTGATGAACCACTAATGCCAATTAAATCTGAGACTACAGATGCAGTTATTCTATTTGATCTTAAATAGAACCATTCCTTTGACCTTTGTTTGACTGGATAATAAAGTATTAAAGTATTACTTTGTGTTTCTGTTAGCTTTATCTCTGAAGGGTCAGGTATATCCAAGGACCTTTTCGTGTCAACATCTGCTGTCTTTTGGGGTGGTTTGCAGTAATCATGATCTTTGGCTGCTGCTTTAGTTATGTAACGATCAGCTAACAATGGATATAAACCACTGCGTTCTCTCAAAGATCTATTCTTGCCTAGTGTTAATAAAAAATGAGTTTCCACTTGAGTTTGATCAAGATTTTTAGATATGTTTTCAACTTTTTGATAAAGTTTTCTTTTTGTTGGAGTARCCCTTTGTTTAGATGGTTTAGTTTGTTCCTGAGGGGTTTCTTTCACRTACTTCCTCTTTCTTGCAGACTTTATTTCAATGCTATGGACAGGTGCATAATTTTGTTTTTTGGTTGAACCACAACCCTTCTTGTGCCACTTCTGTATTTTGCTTGTGCATTGAATTTCTAATTTGAGTGAACCTGTTTGTGTATGGTGAATAAGTTGATAAAGCACAGAGATCACATGGGCACATAATCCAGAGACTCCAACAGTACATGTGCAAGATCCACCCACAGCACATCCTATCTTGTTAAATTTAACAAAGGCAGGTCTTTGCACTTCACCATAAGATTGTTTAACCCAAGCCCTGACCCATGTTTCATCATTCTTTCTCAAAACTCGCATAGTGACAATCTAAAAGTAATGATAAGTTGAATAAGCTTGATATATATTTAGAGATAGCGTGATTTGAATGCATATATTTCACTTACTTTTCGACTGTTAAAAAATCGTTCACCCTTTTCTAACATGGACTTTCGACCTGGTAGCTTTGATTGTGCATATTGATCTAACTGTTTTGCAGTAAAAGTGGGGAAAGGTCCAATTTTCCAAGGTTCCTGTGGCAAAGGGATCTTGCTTCCATCAAGTTCTCTTCCAAAGATGTTCGAAGTTTGTTTTCTGGCTTTGACCTCTTTCTCTAGAAATTCTGTAAGTTTTGGCTGATTTCTAAAAAGATCGGCTCGTTCTTTGATTTCTTCATTGGTCCCTGTTGTTTTTTGACCAATAGAAATAAGGAATTGGACATTGATATCTTTTTCAGTTATTTTTTTTACTTTTTCTTTGCCAATTTCTGTTTTCCCCACAAAAGGCTCCGATTTTTCCGCCATTTTGAATTTCGCGCAAAGCATTCTGGGTCATGAAAACCGGAAATCGTGACTTTTATAGTGATCACGCATTWTCGTTGTCACGCATTCTCAGAAACTGATTTGCATCAACCAATCAATAAAAAAACAAGCAGTCGAAAAATCATTCAATGGGTCATTCCATCAATTATGGCCTCACATGGGCCGGTGTTTTTTATTTATCATTTGCATTTTCGATTCAACAAGTAAGTTGATGAATGAAGACAATTCCCGAGAAAATCTCCCTCTATTTTTGTAGACAGCCCTCCTTTTGAAAATTGCTCGATCCACCCATGTATGTGAGCTCTATTTACCCAGTCAAATGAATATCTARTGTCAGTCTGAAGGCAAGGTACCATTAGAACTCTATGCTGTAATATGTCTGGTTCTTTATATCWTAACCAATCTCTTTTTAACCTCCTTTTTCACATCACCAATTGATAACAAAACTACATAATAAATACTTTAATTGGATATATGACAATGCAGGTGCAGGACAAATTTTCAAAAGAGAACATATCATGGATAGCTGCAATGGATGAAGTTCGCACACAACGGTTGGAAGAGGARCATCAAAAGTTAACATTACAAGTACTGATTCGTGATTGGCCCAACAGTGATGAGTATTGTGATAGACCAGAGTTGATTGCAAGCTTGGAACATCAGGTATTTTAAGAATTAGAAAGTTGCACTTTAATAGCATCATGAGTTCAAATGAGAGTTGAGGCCGCACACTACTGTCAAAACTTATTTGTCTTTTGACAGTTGTGCATGGCCCTTGTGCAACTCTCATTTTAAATCAGGCATTTTATATGTAGCATTATAACTTGTATAATATTCTATTCATTAAACACTCAAACAATAAAGTCTATTATATAATTAAGTACTTGTAAGCCATGGTATTAACTATATTGTATTTAAATTTTGTATATTAAATTTCAAAAAAAAAAAAAATAAATGAATAAATAAATAAAATTCCAAAATAACATAAAATAACAATACAAAATAAAATAACATTTAAAGATCCTTTTGCCTTTGTTTGGTTGTAAAAGGGAATGAATTAAGGCTGAGTTTAAACAATTTTTGGAATAGCGATTTTTAGAATAGGTGAGATGTCTTTACCCATTGAACACGGACATATGAATTGTAAACATGAATGCAGGAAAATAAATATAAATAAATAAATACTTAAAGAAATTCCGTTGTTTCCCTGGAGCCCTGTTTGTAATTCTTTTGTACATAATTTTTGTTACTGAACCGAAATATCCATTAAAAATAATAATATCTTTTTTATCTTGCCTTAATTTAAACTSTATTTTTTTCAGATAAACCGGTTTGTTGATATCATCCTCAGTAAAGACAAGCAGTTAAGAAAACCACAATACAAGTTTTTTAGAGTTGATGAAGATGAGGATAAAGATTGCCCAACTATTTTACACTTGGCTGCCAAACAAGGCTTTGAAAAAATAGCAAAAACAATAGTAGAATACTACCCAGGGTTGCTGTACTTAAAAACTGARGAACATGATGACAAGAGAGAGTATTTGCCTGTTGAGATTGCACTTCAAGAGGGTTTGAAGTTTGATACTTCTGGCCGTTCAGGATGGTGGGATAATACCTGTGCTTATCTTATAGGAAAAATGAAAAATGAATGGTGTGTAGTAGCTTTCTTTTGTCGGTTCTATTCTTTCCTTCACTTCTTTGTTCCATCTCTTTATTTTTTTCTTCCCTTCTTGCCATCCTCCTTATTCCTAATGTTTCCTCCTTTCCTTTCTCGCTTTGTTTTGTGTTTTGTYTGTCTCTCATTGATGATTTCATTCATGCATCTATCTAGAGTTTTCTTCCTTTCTTTTATCTCTCCCTTTTTTMACCCTTTTTCACTTTCTCTCCTTCTCTTCCATTCCTGTACTTCTTATTTCTTCTAATTTTATTTCTCCCATTTGTTGTTTTATCTCCTTTTCCATTTGGAGTACATTTCTTGCTCTTCAATTTTTTTTTCAATTCTTTCCTTCTATACTTCAAACCGTTTTTCTCTTTTTTTCATCTCCCTTTATTTCTTTGTAAAGAAATCCATCTCTTTCTTTTAYTGTTCTGTAACTCAGTATGATAATGTATTCTTCTCTTTCTTTTTTCTTTTCCCTACCTGTTTATCTWATTGTGCATCCATTTTTATCAGGATTCACAACCTTTTTGTGCTCAATGGATCAAACACAGACATTTTCAATTTTGGTGAATTCATCCAGCATCCAAATATGAAGGTATTAAAAACTCTTCATATTTTTTTCATAAACATTAGGAATCCAATCAAAGCTTTCTATTTCATTTTCTCTAGAAAACTGTGGTTGCAGTGCTTGATCGCCTTATAAGCCCACACTGGCCATATTTGCCACAAAAGAAAGAAAGAGAAAGCTTCAAAGGGGAGGAGAGGAGTATTGAGAAGGCGTGGAGTAGYGTCCCTGACAATCCCATGAATTACCATTTCGTCTACCACTTGTTGGACTGCGATGAATCTGGAAATTTGCCCAAAATAGGCGACAAAAGAAATGCTAACTTTAATCTGAGAGGGAAATCAAATCTCTACCATATTGCAAACAGTCAAAATAAGGTAAGACAAAATTTTAAGGAACAAAACAACAGCCTTCAATTTTGACATGTTTCGGCGATCAATCGCCTTCCTCAGATTACTTTAATGGTACTAATGATGTGTATATATATAATATAAGAATTTACATAAATACAAAGAGTATTATAAACAATAATGTTACAATTTGAGATTAACATTATATTAGCATGAGACAAAAAAAAATTAACAGTTTTTTTTTTTAATTGCAAAATTTGTAACATTTTCTTAAAAAGTTGTTGAAATAGTTCCTTTTATAGTTAAGCAAGAAATCATTAGAAGGAAAAAGAAAAAAAAAACAACAAAGAATTAAAAGATCATAATAAAGAAGAAAACAAAAAGAGCCTTTGCGGAGACTTGAACTCCGGACCCCTGGTTTACTAGACCAGTGCTCTAACCACTGAGCTACAAAGGCATTTTGATGGCTACTCGTGCGATTTTATGAATAATATAACCGTGCCTAGTCCATTCTATTGTAGTTAGTTGATGATCATGTATACTGAACGATTTTTTAGACTTTAAAGTAAATTTAACTGTTACGTATTTTGAAATATTATCAGTTAAGTTAGTTGATTAGGTCAAAAAATCTACTCGAGTGATTTCTGGGCCCGACGAGGGTATATAACCCTCTGAACTCAACGCTCGGTGTTTTCTAATTCAAATATTTTTCTCTACATAAACATATGTAGTTAGTTAGTTGGTTTGTTATGCGTTCACCTGTTCCACCTAAACGGTTATCCTAAAATTGTATAATCCCTGCATTTGCAGAGAGTCTAAAACAATCTTATGCGTTGTGTGACAGACGGCTTGCGTGACACCTGACACACGCCTGTTTCTATTTGTAAATTTTTATTATATATCAATATATTCAGTACCCGATCTGTTTTTCTGTTTGAATTCTTGCTGTTTTTTAGCTTACCTTAGCTTGAAAAACTAATTTTTGAATTTGAATTTTTGCATTGAATTTTGAAATTGAGATTGGAATAGCTTGGCCAAACTAATCTTTTCTTCTTATTTTTATCTATTGTTGCTGATTAGGAAGCAATCCAACATCCTGTTGTCAGAATGCTTGTAATGAGAAAGTGGTCGAAGTTCGCGCAGTGGTGGTTCGGGTTAGTATATCAAAATATGCGTATGGTCGGACCTCTCATTAACGACCGCGATAGCGATTTAATAGAAAGCGRTCACTGTAGTATAATAATGAAGCGCACATTTACTAGAGTCGGAACTCTATAATTTTAGCGGCCCTCTATTTAGCGGTCACCCTCCATTAAGCGGCCACTCAACAATTAAAAGTAGCTTTAACATTCATTTACTGTAAAGCATAACATTTATTAAGKCAATCAAACCCTATTAAGTGGTCACCCCAAGGTGACCGTTTAATAGAGGTTCGATGTTAATATCCATTCGTCAAAACTGAATTCTCTTTAGAAAGGCAACTATCACATTTTGACAATATATAATATCGTAAAATGGACGTTCAAAACCATGAACCCTTATCGCTATTCTCTTCCTTACGCGGTTTTCTTGTTCAATAGGATCCAAGCGTCATTCTATCTTCTGTTTTTRATTCTGATGTCCTTTGCTTTAATCTATGGATCAACTCGTAGCGACCCTAACAGCTACATAGGCTCAGCGGACAAGCTTAGGGCGTTCTGTGAGATTGCAACTATTTTGATGGTCATATTTTAYGTCATAGAGGAGTGTTTTCAAGCTGACAAGTAAGTTTCTAAAGAACGAATTAGACCGCAAACCTTTTGCCTGAAACCATTGCATGCAACCTGCAAAGGTCGTCTTTCCAACGTGGCTAAGTGTCGTAAAGATTCGAAATAATTATTTAACAGGTGTAGCCATGTTGTAAGGATGGCTTAGGGTGTTGCATGTCATTAATCAAATGTACGTAGTGCCGTCTAATTCGGCCTTAATGTTGATATATTATATAGTATAACTATTTGCCTTTTGGCCTCTATGACATCGTGGAGTTTCAACTSGAATAATGGGATTGTCTTTTTGCGAAGAGCAATAACAATAGTCTCCTTCACGGTTCCCTGCGCCATCTTGAAAGGTAGCCGTGCCTTCCGTCGTATCGAAGCGAGACAACCGTTGAGCGTGCAATGATAGATACCTCTGAATAACTGTCTGTAGGTGTGAAAGAAGCTTTCTATCATAGTTCCCTCAACGGTCGTCTCCCTTCAATGCAAAGGCACGGCTACCTTTTAAGATGGCACAGGGAACAGTGAAGAAGACTATTTCCCCAACTAACCTAAAAAATTGAATTTATATTTCCTGGGCAACCAGTAGTATCTTGGTAAATCGATAATGAAAAAGAACAGAATTCAAGATGGCGTCCAAATTATGATAATAAGATCTATTGTGCTTTTACTTTGTAGCGAAGGAATCAAAAAATACATYAAGGACCCGTACAATTGGTTTGACTGGATTGGACTTGTTATGACGCTGTTGGTGATTCCGTTGCGATTCTCTGGCTCAAGTGGTCAGTGGACCGTCGCTTCGATTGGGTATCTCTTCAACTTCCTTAGGATCTTCAAATTCTCTTGTGTCTCAAGGTAAATAGTGTCATTCATACATCAAAAAAAAAAACAGAAAAGGCACTCAAAAGAACCAGAAGATTCTTTAAAAATCTTACGCAAAAATGAATTGCGGGCTTTATTGGCTGTTTAATTGATCACTTAAATCTAGTATTATCTAGTGACATGCCTTGTTTTCTTTATAGAACAACTGGTTTATATACAAAGACACTAGCCAAGATTTGTTACCGCGATATGGTTCGATTCATGGCTGTTTTCATTGTGGTCTTCGTAGCTTTTTGTGGATCTCTTTTCATGTCCTTACGAGCGATGAACTCAACGTCACTGATAGAGTAAGGANATGCTTTGCAAATGGCTTTGAACAACCTGAGCCCGCTGTTGATATTACTACTGGAGTATATGTATCTAATATTTTGTTTTGTTCCAGTGGTTTTAGCAATGTGATGTTGGTTGGCATTCGCGCTTTGGTCGAGCAAAACCCAGTAGACGATGACTATTCTAAATTCAAGTAAGTATGATGACAGGACAGGAAGCCCGACAATAGGGTAGGCTGCGAAAGAGACTAGTCAGAATGGACAATAGACCTTTTCACGGTCTTTTACGGTTATAACTAAAGCCGGCAACATCATATCAAAATTATGACTTTTTGCGACATCAAAAAATTTTTTCCTGACATTGCAAAAAGATAAGCAACTTTTAAAAAAGATCTGTGTACGAATACAAAGAGATATAGCTGTTCAAATTTCTTTTATCATTATATTTTACTAGGTGGTTATCTGTTATAATAATTCTGTGCTACATGGCAATGGTTATYGTCATTCTGTTGAACATCCTGATTGCACAGCTCAGCTATACWTATGCTGAGGCCAAGAAAATGGCAAAGCTACAATATGACATTGATCGTGTCTTGATTATCACTCGCTTGGAGCATAGCAGGTTTTCTCGATTTGTAAGTATATCATGTCCAATTAGAGAGTTTGAGTATCGCGTTTACGGCAAACGGCTAACGGCAGAGTTGAACCAACGACCTAAGAATTTCGTGCCTGAACTTGTGCTTTTGGTAGTCATTTGAAAGAGCGGCTTTTCACGATTATGGCAACCCAAAAATAGCTCACTCTAGCGTTGAAACTGTATCGGTAAACCCCCCAAAAAGCAGGTCACATGATCTTTTCTGCCGTTTGCCGTTTGCCATGAACATCATGCTAAGCTCTCTAATGAACGGTATCTATCAATTTTCAGCGGCTACCCCTGGGTATGGTCCACCAGCATTCTATGCGGTCTTGTTTTACTTCTTTTTCATATATGAGATATGAGGTGACTTCACTTATACAATCCGTTTCCATCCGTCGTTTCTAACGTTGAATCTTACAATATCTTCATTCATATGGTATAAATGGATAAAAAAGTGTACTCTATTCCTTAGATTACCATGTATTTTTATGTTCAAACATAAACAAAAGCTCGAAAGGGATTCAGGTGGACCAAGACCCGGCTTTGAGCGCCAGTATTTATTGCAATTGTCGAACACCAAATTACATGATATCTCTACAGAACCTTCGTGTCAGATACTATCAAGAAGGCGATTGGATCGGCGAAGTAAAACTAGCCAAAGGTAAAGCTTTATACATGGACATTAATAAGCAGTATGCAGCGACGCCTGAAATTGTCTGAAACTTGCAGATATTACAGCGAAAACACTTCTAAACAATCGGCCATTTTGCCATTTTGTTTTGATTCGCTAAAGGAAGCCCAAAACTAAAATGCACAGGGTTTCCGCAAGAATGACATACAATTGTTAAAACTTTTTACTTCGTGTTGCAGCATTGCTTGAGTATAGCGAGGACAGATATCCATGGGAAAGCATTGAAGAAAAACTAGAACAGATCAGGTAAGTACAATACGAGCTTATTCCCTGTTAGTGTAGATTAAGATGAACAACTCTGTCTATTCTTCGTCGAGAAGCCTCGTAACCCTTTAGTAATGAGCCTGGGTTCTCTACTCCCTCCTAGTGCAATGGAAAATAGTTTTCATCACTGCTTCCTTAGCCACCTCTGAAGAGGAACTAAAATCTAATAAATCTAGAAGATCTCAAAATTACAAGTTTGAATACACCTTATTCCAAAATGGCTGACTAGCCCTTGATGTCTCGTTTTCATAAAATTATTCTTTTGTCTTTGAGCTTGAGTGACTTTAAAAGAAAAGAACAATTTCATGAAAACGAGACATCAAGGGCAAGTCAGACATTTTGGATTAAGGTGTATATAAAGCTTTAGCATCATACGGCTTGCACTAAATAGGGACATGTGATCTGACGATGAGTTAAGCATGTCAGATTCTTCTACCAAATCGATTCCTCAAATTTGTTTTAAAGTTAATGTTTGCTTTTTCCTTAGGACCATGATGAAAAAAGTCATCAAACGACTTCCGGTTCCTGACAATTAAAATCCCAAGGCGTTCCTGGCTTAGCGGTGAAGGAAGTTGTTACCTGTAGCCTGGTGCGACTCAAGTAGGCTCACTATTATCTTTATATAGCTGATAAAGGGTTTTTAGATGTAAACGGATTTTCGTGAATAGACGCAGGCAAATATAATAGTATATTTTGTAGAGATTTTTAGTTGTACAAGGAGATTTGAACGAGCAAGAGCAACCGCCAACTTTGATCGACAAACGACGAACTATCTGAGTAATTCTAAATGAGCTGACTTACTTCTTCATTTAAGTCAATTGGAGATTGAATGAACCTGAATTAATGCATGGATGGAATTGAAAAATGAGCAAATGGATGGGAAAACCTGGGATAAATTGAAAAAATGAAACAAATGAATGAGATGAATGGATGGATGATAGGAGTAAATCACGTCATGAAAACAGATTTCTGACGCTGGGATTTTAAAGTCGAAAGTCCCACAGCAGTCGCTTCCGCTGTGCTCCACGCGAAATCTTAGAATAATCACTTAAACAACAAGCTTAGCCGTTAGATTATTTCTGTTTTGTAAAAAGATAAAAAGGTAGATGAAATAACTTACAACTTTTAGTAAGTTGCTTCACCTACTTTTTTTGCGGTGTCGAATTTGTCTTTTTACACAAATGTTTTGTTAGAAACACCGACGCAGCTCACACTAGTTTACCGCTAGTTCTCACAATTTAGATTATTTCTGTCTATTTTTGATGATATTTATAATGTTTTAATTTCTACCAGTGTCAAAATTATTTAATATTCAATATGCAATCATTAGCTGCACAAGAAAATAAAGGATAAACATTTTTATTTGATACTTTTTTGTAATTACAAACCAGTAGAAAGTAAACTCAAGAAATAAATGTGACAAGTATTTAATCTTTGATAATAAATTCTATTAATTTCTTTAATTTTGTTAATCTATTTTATATTAGTTTGTAATATGATATCTCCTCTTCTACTCAGATTTACAGCGAAATCCTGCGTCTTTAACGTAAGATAATGCCGTATTCCTTCATCTTGTAGCTACGGTATCTTAATTAATTCCTTTCCATGCCAGTGGTTTTGAACGTTTATATCAATCGCGTGGACATTACATAAACGCGATGACCTTACGTAATCTTACGTACTGCTACGTAAGATTACGTTATCATCCTACGTAGAGCGAGTTGCTGCGTCTTTCCTTAGACGAGCTCTGTATGTCTTGTATCGGTTGCGACCAGCACTGTCATGAACGGAATGAAGCGTTTTTCCATAGAAGGCACTATAACTGAAAATATAATCAATCAATCGAATTTAGTCTTTATTTCCAGTTGCGCGTGTCTTTGTTCAAAGATGTAGTTCATGGCGTAAAGATAGAAGGACTAGAGCAGAAAAGGCAACAAAGGAATTAGAGTGTTTTATTTGATAGTGCAGGATGTAAAGATTGAACTTGAAGTCCTTCAAACATTCTATCAAATATTTTTGTCTTCTCGGGTTTGATGTGTAGTTTTTGAAGTCGTTTATTCATTAATTGGTAAGACTGTTTAATAATCCAAAGATGCCTGTTTTTTTGAATGTTGCTTGAGTCGATGAGCATTTGATTTTATTCTAAATCGCCGAGACTTCAAACCAAAAATGCTTGCTTCCTAACTTGCGCATGTGCTTTGAGCTAATATACAAAATGTGCTGTGGATGCCAACAGATTTCACTTACTTGTTCTTAGGCCCTTTAACTGTCACCTGTCTAACATAAAGCCCCAGGTTTCCCGCGTATTTAAGAACAATTGACCCCAGCTCTCCTGGGTTAATGGTTGTTGGTATAGTGACATTCATCTCCTTCATGTAGTAAGTGACTTTGGTACTGAGGGAGGAGAGGGGTAAAATTTAGAGTCAAATTTGCAAGGACTGGTTTATGGTTTTTATCAAAATTCCCTGCACTATTTTGACAGTTATCTATGCCTTCCCATCGAAGCGAAACGACCAGTGAGTGTGCAGTGAATGATATACTTCTGAGTGATTTTGCTTTAATAAGTAGGAAAGAATGTGGAAATTTTGTTGTTGTTATCTCTGTTGTTCTTGTATTTTATGTTGTTGCTGCTGTTGTTGCACATGTTATTTTCGTTGTTAGTTTTGCTGTTGCTGATGTTGTTGTTATTTATGATGTTGCTGTTGTTTTTATTGTTTTTGTTGTTTTTGCTGCGGCTATTGTTGTTGTTGTTGTTGTAATCTTTGTTGCTGTTGTTGGTTCCCTTTGAAGATGATCTAGGGAACTCTAAAGATATGATAAGTCACTTGATATTGAAAGAGAAAACGGAAGATATAGAGGATTACGTTCACTCGTGAGAGATTCTCAACACGACAAGATAAAATTCGTATCTACAAGCGAACATGTAATATTCTATTTATCATATAATTGTATATGAAAGCAAATAATGTCTTAAAATAGCTTTTTTCTTACTTCCACAATATAGAGAAACCTCGAATGTGTTATCAAGTTTACGAAATGGAGAAATATAGGTATTTCATAGATAATTATATGATAAACGTCGAATTACTACTTATTGTTGAACATTTTATACGTGACACAAGCACATGAAAACACATTTGCAAAAGAGGTTTTCTTAGAAATACAATAAGATTCATGTGGGACGTTTCCGTATCATCTAACCTGGGAAGAGTGCTAATGGCAGTCCTGTCTTTTCCAATTAGAAAAACTTGAACTTCGCCGTAACCACCAAAAAGTGGAACAGCAACTTGTAAGTCCTTTAAAGTCACATGATAAACTAAGAAATCGACTGGGAAAAAAAAAGAAACGAGTTAAACAAGATAAACCGGTTTAAGGTGAAACTAACCTATATACACGCATCAGGAGTTTCAGAGAACAATGTGTCCGCCATCTTGAAAAGTGAGCCCTGAATCACTGTTTTGCCTTAGAACAAATTTCATAGCCGCTTAGTCAACTAATCTATCATCA